ATTTGAGGTTAGATATTATTCCAACCATATATTTCTTGATATGATGTGTGCAATTCGATGTTTTTCTTGTCATGTATTAATATGCACTTGTGCATATCATGTGCACTTTGGTTTCCTTGTTTTGCACAATACTTTAGGCTGTAGGAATAATTGCAGCTGTTGGGGATTCTGTTACTGACTTAAAAGTTGGCATGCCCTGTGCGCTCATGACTTATGGAGGGTATTCTGAATTTATAATGGTGAGATTGCTTAACATTTTGTCCTGGTTTGATCATAAAGTTGATAATAGTGAGGCAATTTATGTTTACCTTGTTTGTTTGGCCTAGATTCCTTCAAAACATGCCCTTCCAGTTGCTAGACCAGATCCAGAAGTTATTGCCATGCTTACTTCAGGACTAACTGCTTCAATCGCTCTTGAAAAGGTTTACTAATTTAAGCTCATCTTCATGCTTCTAAGATGTTATGCAATGTACCATAATTAGTTTAATGCCTGATATATTACATTATGTACATTCAAGAACTCTTACGATTCACTACCTTTTGTGCAGCTTCTAATTAGTTTAACGCCTTGAGTCATTCTGCCACTGAATTGGCTTGACCTAATAAAGGTTTTCTCTTCTTGTGCATTAAATAGGCAGGACAAATGGATTCTGGAAAGATAGTCCTTGTCACTGCTGCTGCTGGAGGAACTGGACAATTTGCAGTTCAGGTGCGCATAAATTTATTACCGTTTGCTTCTCTCAAATGTGTGTTTGTGTTCATTTATACTGTTTCATATTATGTAGTGGATGGCAGAGCCTAGGTTTTTATATTTTACACAACTCAGACAACATTCATTCACATCACGTTACTTCCCATCCTACACATTATACTACCATAATTCACATTTCTGGAAAATGCATTTTCCTTTGGTGTATAGACCAGAGATATTTATTGCTTTGAGTTTTGTGCTTTTTCTTCTTTTCACGCACATGTTCTTCAGACTATATTTATTCAACCCTTGAACATTTTTCCTCGGTTCATTGAATCTAAAGATGTATGACCACTATCTTAAGAAATTTGTGGTTGTTTTTGTAATTATTGTATGAGTCGTGGTGTATATGTTCTTCCTTTTCCAGTAAGTTTCTTCACTTCTCAGAACTAAATATGGAGTCCTTTCTATGTCTAGGAAATAGAGAGGACACGACACAAAGAAATTAAACAGCAAGAGAGGCTGGACTTCTTTTAAATAATTCATTAGTTCAATGCTTCACAGCTATGAAACATGTACAAATAAAAATTCAATGGGCATCGTCGACGTTGGGTATTCTTACACTATTTTTCCCTGTGAAAAAAGAACATAGAACTTGTTTTATATCATCAAGATGGAGTTTCTAGTGCCCCTTTTTTGGATTGATTTCTTCAAGCCATGTTTAGTGCATGTCTGAACTATTTTTTATTATTATTCTAACTCATATGCACTCATGTTATTGGTGATTTGGTGTGTCATGGCAGTGTTAGTGGTAAACATGCCTCAGGACAGAAATGTCCGTGCTTCATAACTTCATAGATAAACTTAGATGTAGATACTGTTTTGTGTTATAGGAACATTAAAAGATAGAAGAAATAAGTAAATTTGTTCCGATCAGTTTATATCTATTACCAAGTTAGTTTGAGATTTTCTTTTGTTGAGATATTGCAGTCTAATTTTTGTACTTGATTTTTCTGCACACAATATGCAATGTCCTCTCAGTAATTTGGACTCCATGCAGCTTGCAAAATTAGGAGGAAATAAAGTGGTTGCAACTTGTGGAGGAGGGGCAAAAGCCAAGCTTCTAAAAGGATTGGGAGTTGACAGAGTCATAGACTATAAAAATGAAGATATTAAAACCGTATATCTCGAGTCCTCTGACTTTACTTTTTTCCTTCTATACATTAGTTCTTTTAACAATATCCGGTTGCTTTTATGGTTTGCTTGATGATTTGATGGCACATTTGAATTTTGAAAGATGAATCTATTTATGTGAAATGATATTGCTAACATTGAAATAGATTTTTCACACATTGTCCAAGATATGTGTGTTTTAAAACCACCCCCACCCCCCGCGGAAAAAGAAAAAAAAATTGATATCTTAACTGCCCCGAAGCTCTAACTAATTGAATATTTGTGGCTTTGTTTATTCAGGTTCTGAGGAAAGAGTTCCCAGAAGGCTTTGACATCATCTATGAGTCTGTTGGTGGTGCCATGTTCAACTTGTGCTTGAATGCTTTAGCCATCTATGGACGACTCATTGTGATTGGAATGATTTCTCAGGTTCTTTGATATTCTCTCCTTTCCCCACCCTTGCAAATTCTCGTGTAACTGTTATATATGTTCCTTGCAATATTTTTCTTGGAAGTCTACCCTTTTGTCTTCCAGATGATGTATATTATTATCTTAATGCCCGAGTTTGTCATGCTGTACTGGTTTACTTTAAGATTATATTTGACATCTAGTGTTGCTCGTGCAGTCCTTTATATGAAGTAGTACTGGCTAGTGACACATGCAGTCCCTCTGGGTTAAAATTTAGAACTTGTGTAGTGCATGGATATCATATCAAAATTTCAAACTTTTTATAGAATTTTCTCACTCAAATCATCAGGTTATAATGAAAGATGGAATATATCTTTTAAACAGTTGGCATAAATTTAAGAAGCTATATTATGCATTTCAGTATGAAAAGATATTTTTATTATGTGTTTTATTATTTAATAATGCAATTGTTAGTTTGAAAGTAGGGTATGTAATTTGGGGCAACTTCAATAACTTGGGATTTAGAAGAGATGTTAATAAGCTTTTGGTCTGGTTGGATAATATAAGAATTTGCTTCACATTCATCCACTCAATCAATCAACAGAGTGTATGAAGTCATCACCCAATTGTAGTCTTTCAGAGGGAGACACTAGGTTATAAATTGTAACAAGTTGTTTCTGTGCTGATGTGCTCTATGTTTTATAAAATGTGTCTATATTACATTTTACAGATCTGAATGGACAACCTTCTTTCTTCATTGTTTTATTTATATCAGTATCAAGGAGAGCATGGCTGGAAACCATCAAATTATCCAGGACTATGTGAGAAGATCTTAGCAAAGAGCCAGACTGTGGTATGTGTACACATTGAGTTGTATTCCAGTAGGCTGATTTTATTTTATTCTTCTTTCTAAGTTCTTATTTCCTTTCCTTGATAATTTTTTTTTTAAAATAACATTCATAATCAGCATTGCTTTCCAATTTTTTAACCTTTCAATGTTAGTGAACTATCCCACTTATGATTGTTCTATATCCCCTGATTTGAGTAATTTGAAAAACGTTGGCAAATAAGTTGATGATTATTCTCTTATTTTCCTCTAAAGTGAATAAGTTCGAAATCCCACAATTGGCTTACCAATGGATTTCCATAACGATTCCAACATTTTCAGACTGGCTTTTTCCTGGTGCAATATAGTCATTTGTGGCGACAACATCTTGATAGACTGTTTGATCTGTACTCCATGGGCAAGCTAAAGGTAATGCAATGTGTATTCCATTTCTGTGTGTCATTGTGTGATCATTCTTTACTATTTGCAGTGCATCTTAAGTTTACAAGTACTATCCCTCTAATTTTCCGTGCTTCTGAAGCTCGCTGCTATTTACTTCTGGTTTGTGCGCATAGGTTGCTATAGATCCAAAGAAATTTGTAGGCCTACAATCTGTTGCGGATGCAGTTGAGTATCTCCATTCAGGTCAAAGTGTTGGGAAGGTATTTACTTTCTAATGAAATTAAATTTTGCTTTCGTACGTTTTTACAGTCAAGTTCTCCCATGAAAACCATATGAATGGATATTTATTATATCTCAGCACTTTAAGTGTGTTTTCATAAAAAAATGTTTTGTCCTGTAATTACTCCCAGTACGTACTGCACTGCTGCTTCTAGACAATCTAGCCTTAGATGCTTTTATCTAATCAAATAAATCCTCTCCAGGTTGTTGTCTGTCTTGACCCATCCTTCCATCATCAAGTGGCCAAATTATGACTCTACAGGGATCATACTCTTGTTTCATCGATTTCAAATATAGAATTGTGAACTGAAGGAGGTGGAATGAAAATCAGCGCCCTCCAACTTTGCAGCTCTTCTTCAAATATGCTACTGAACTGTAATGAAGATTGGTTCTGCTCTTTCAAATTATTCAGCTCTAGTATAATATATCCTATCCTTTCTTTTGAACTTACGATGAGGTTGTGTGATAAATAATAATAAATAAATGTTATGTAAAGAACTCAGTTAACCAAGTTTGCTTTTATATCAGACAAGACACAATGGTATTCCTTCCCATGCACTCGGACAAATTATGAAGCATCCATTTTGATATATATATATATATATATAGAGAGAGAGAGAGAGAGAGAGAGATGTTCAAGTGAGTTCGGTTTGGGCTGACTAGAATTAAGGTAGACCTCGTCCTTTAAAGGAAGAGGTCCATGTCTTCATTTACCCTTGGAATTACCATCAATTGTAATCTAAAAATAGAAACTAGTTTACTATCCCTACTTTTGGGACTGCACATGGCCTTCAGGAAGCAAGGAAAGGTATGACTATGACTTCGTTTGGATTTCAGTTGGATATAATAGATTATAAAAATAATTGATTAAGTGGTAGATTTTAATCAGAATTGATTATGTTATAATGTAACCTATTTGAATATTGAGATTGATTTTAACTGTGCAAATTATCATAAAATACGTTTCTTTTTTAAATTAAATTATTAATAAAGTTGCATTTAATATTAATAAATTTGTTAAATTTTATTTAACACAATTATGAATTATTTACAAATTATTTATTATTAACATGGTAAAATGAAAACCAGAAGCAGGTATGAATAGATTAACAAAAAAATTAATTTCAGCATGTTTAATTGATTATGTCATCATTATGCTGTTTGGCAAATTTTGTTTTGAAAATTGATTAAACCTCAAAAAATTGATTCTTGACGCAAAGCACTATCAAGGCCAAATGCGCCACCAAACTTTGTCTTCTATTGAGTCCCCAAATTATTTTTTTTTTCTTTTGCCTGATCAGCCATGGTCTCGGAAACAAGCTGAGCGTCATGATAGAAATTTTTCACACAGCTTCGGATAGTGACGTTGAAGAAACCATTCCTTTCAGAAATCATCGAACGGCTTGCATGTCAATCTAGATTTCCCCCAGTCAGCGTAAGCTTTCCTGAGCTTCATACTCACCGCTCAGACAGTTCTGAATATGGTAATGATCATGAAACATCAGTGTTGTTCCTTAACGCTTTAATATTAGGGAATGGGTGAATGAGGATGGCCTAAGAATTGGGATCCTCTGAATCATATTCCACCTGATTAGAGAAAAGAGAAAGACAAGCCAGACTAGTTCTTCCTAAGGTCTCACAAGGTGAGTTTTATTCCCTTTCTCTCTCCATACTTTACATGGGGATAATTCATGAGATCTAAATTAACTGATGCTTCGCTTAACAATTCCATGCCGTAAGTTTTGAAAAGACGCTAGAGAGTCTGTCCAAAAAATGCTCCAAATAACCCCTTGAGGTTAACTCAAGCAATAAGGAATGGAATAGAATATGGGAACTAATCCAGAATTTGAACCCTTGATATATTTTTTTTTTAACAAAAAACACTCGAGATTCTCCGTCGATCCTGATCAATTACTCACAGAGATAACCTGATGGTGCATTTGCATCTGAATATGTTATTTCTACCCTCGTTTTAAGACATAAAAATACAAATTCATTTTTTTTCTACCTTAAAGTCAGATGTAGCAGGGGACTCAATTCTTTCTTCAATTATATCCATTTCTTTAACGGCCAAATACACCGGCCTACACAAATGAGACATTTATTCAGTAGCAAGACATCACGTGGCGAGTTAAATAATCATATGTTGGTATACATGCAGTACAGCTTTTAGTAGGGATATAATTCTAGTACTCATCTCAGACACTTACATCCAACGTTTGAGGTTGAGCTCTGAAGTAACCATGTCACCCTGCACTACATGTTGGCATATACAGTTGTTCCGTAAGAGTTGAACATAATTTACTCACACGAATTGGTCATCTTGAAATAAAGCCTTGGAAACTGAAGTACTTGTTTGACTGCCATCAACCCGGTAATGGTCATCATCCACCTTGCTTGTCCACGAACATGAACGTTTGTTTCCTGTCAATGGGGTCTCGCATACTTTGTCACAGCTTGCCCTCTCCCTCTTCTTCCTTGTTGGCAGCTTTCTAAGAGAATCTGAGTTGAGTTTCACAGCCTTCTGCTTTGGGGCCCAAAGTTTCTGCAAATCAGGGATGCAACTTGTGAAAGATGAAAATCTCCTTGCCCTTTCTCTCTTCTTCCTGGCTTCTACTAACTTTGGATCGTGATCCTCCCATTGTTTATTTCTTTCAAGGCTTCCTTCTGCATTCTTGAGGAGCTGAAAGGGTTCATTTTCTGATGATACAGGACCACTACTACTTACATTATTTTCACCCATCTCATCTCTGTCGACATTTCCATTCCATGATTTGTTGCTGTCTTCACTGATGAGCAAATGATTAGGGGTTTCATCCTCTTCGGCAAACAGCAATAGGTCCATTTTGTCATAGATTTTATGAACCAAATCTCCAAGGGAATGAGAATACCTGAAATTTCAAAGTCTTCAATATCGCTAGTCTAAATTTTTTCTTCATCTCTTAATGTAATTTCAACTGACTTTCATTGTTCCCAAGTTTTTTCTTATTTGGAAAACAAGGGAAGTTTACTTGCAACATTGAGGGAGATTTAAAGACAATTTGTGACAAGATAAAAGATATTCCGCACTAGTTTATCATATTATAGTCAAGTTTTAGGTAGGAGCAACACTTCACACAGATTCATTCGCTGGTGAACATATTTCGGCCAATAGCAGAGCACACACCACAGATGGTATATTTTAGAATGAATGCACAAAATGATAGTAGCCTGAGCTATGCCTCTAACTCCAAAGAGAAACAAATCTTTTTGTCATTGCATTAAGAAATACTGAGTTACTTTATGAAAAAGGATGAATGGACATCCATAAAATCTATCAACCTTGGGATATAAACACGTACCTGCTTTTTATGATCTTTGCCACATAATTATCAAGGTTCCAAGCGCCAAAAAATCCCCCTTCCATATGACACTGAATATTCTCCAGAAGAAGGCAAATTTGCTTCGCCATCTTCTGTTTGTTAGACTCTTGAACTCCACTTCCAACATCGGATTGTAAGATTTCCATCCGAAACAAAATCTGTAGTTCATTTCTTGTGCTCATTAAGGTAAAACGTCGAAACAGGAGAAGCCAAAACTATGCTACCAATTAGAACAACGAAATATTAAATACATGCACAAATTACACAAAATGTTCTCAAAGGATACTCTCTAACTACTTGTTCTGTGATGAGTGAAGTAGGTCCTGGCTCAGATGCTTGAGAGAATGGATTTCTGCTTTTATGCCTTGTGACTAACTCCTTTGGCTCAATCAGTAAAAGTTTGCTAAGTTCAGCTGCAATCATACTACCATGAGAATCATTACGTTTTGAAGAATTTTGACTTTCAGAAATGGTTTCTCTGTCAAACTTCTTTGATAGCCAGTAGATAGATGAGTTCACAAGTCGCTCAGCCAAAGCCTGCAGGTCTACTTCTTCGCATTCAAGTCCCTGATGGATCTTGTTGGAAAGTGTACTGAAAAATGCTTCAGATGTTTCTGACCCAGTATCAAGCACAGCACCAGCCTGTACTCCTGAAGCCTCAGTCACGGTGTTCTCACCTGCTGAGGCAGATGAGGAGATTGGCAGTGCACCATCTCGGAGTGATCCGGTCAGTCTATTGTTGATGTCTTCTGGAATTAGTTGATTTGGCTGGGATGATTCAGGCACAATTAGATCATGACAGTCAGGTTTCTTCATCTGTTTCATCCAGCATTTCAAAAACTTCAACTTTTTTGATTTGTTACGTTCCATGGCATGGTAAACCTCATGCAAGTCCATGTCAAATTGATCATATGCCGCTTTCCAGAAGGCGCTCCATGTGAGGTTTTGAAGGTTTTTCCTATCCATTGTGTTCTTCTTCTGATGGCCCTCAATCACTGCACCAATCTTCTGGTCTTGAGAACCAAAAGGTTTCTTGCGCTTTTTGAAGTTGGTACCAGGCTGGCAAACATCGGAACTCAGTGTCCTGAAATATTGAGCCATATTGTCCCCATCAAAATCAAGAACCATATCTGGATCATCTAATAGAGATAAGAGAGCAGAAGATACTGTGAAAGGCCTAAGAAAGCCTATATGTGAATCACCATCGCCATTGGAAATGGACACCAAAGCCAAGTAACCTTCGTTATAAAGAAAACTCAAGAGCATTTGCCAAATGGGTACAGAGTTTCTCTGCCACTTGAGATCAAATTCAATTGCAAGAATTTCAAGAACCCTGTCTGCGAAGAATTCATTTGAAATTCCCTTCCTCTTTTTCTTAGATTCACCAAATACTTCTCGTACAAGAACAGAATCAGATATGCGATCCCTTACTTTCACAAAAGCATCATTCCTCTGTACAGCCTTAATGTTAAATTTTGTGATTCCATTACCAAATAGCTTCCAAAAGTTTCCCTTTTGTTCACAGCCTCCTTTTGGCGGAATCATCAATTCTGGATTAAACCGAACATCGTCATATTTACCAAAGAACCTTAATTTGATCAACTCAAGATCACAACAGTTATATTCTATGGGATTCCTACTTACATCTAAGATCTGAAGACTCAATTGCACATGAAGTTTCCTAGAATAATCATTTATATCGAAAGAATTCAATGAAACTCCAATTTTAGGATAAATTAAACCAAAAGGAACAAGAGCGGAACCAAGTATTACTGAATCGACAGAACATAACCCCCAACCCAAAGCTCTAATTCCACTCTTAAAGAAACTATAAACTTGTTTAATTTCATCGGTCTCATTCTTATGCTCACAGCATTCAGATTCGCACTTCAGATCAACCCAACTAAAATGCATGTCTCTACATCCAAACGCACCACTCACGCTTCTGAAGAATCCAGAGAATCTCTCACAAAATGAACCCACATTTTTCAACGACTCGTGACCTGGCTCCACATCAAAAAATTCAGATAAACACTTCGATGATCTACAAATAGGCGAAAACAAAACAACCAAATTCGACCGAACAACTGGGTAATTCAGGACACCATCTGTTACAGGATCACACATTACCGAGTCCCAAGCATAGTCGTGTACAATCTGTTGCACCGATGCTGCAAGATGTGAGGCCTTTGGAGGAAAGGGATCCAATGGATTGTAAAAATGAGGCAGAGAAGTGAGGGTTTGTGAGAGAGATTGGAGGGTGGAGGTGGAGTCACTGAATGAGAGAGTGAGGGAGGGATTGGGGACAAAACGGTGGAGTTTAGAGGATGAAAGAAGAGGAGAAAGTGAGGAAAAGAACAGCTTAAAGCAAAAGAGAGAGGACGAGAGAGGAGGGAAGGTGAGAAGGATTTTGGTTGATGTGAGAAGCGAATTGATGTAAGGGGTGGGATCCTCGAGATGAAGAAGTGGGTTGAGGTCTATGAGGAGAACCAGGCGTTCCGTTATACTGTAACCTGTGATTATATCAATGGCCTTTCCCGCCATTGAAGACAAAGGCTGATGAACGGTGACTTCGAATCGCTCAATCGAATGTGGTGCCGGCGGGGAAGAGAGAGAAGAGAGCGTCTGGATTGGAAGGCAGAAGGGAAAGAGAAGGATGAAACTGTGTCGTTTCGCACAACCACGTCCGCATGGATGCCCAGTGTGGATTGGCGGGATGTAATAGATTGGCGGTAAAAATTCAAAACATCCTCTCGATTCAATTTATTTTCCTCCAAATTTTCTTTTTCTTTGTGAAATGAAGCTAAACTCATTATTTCATTATCAAGTTGAATGATTTATTTAGCTTTTTTTTGGTAAAATGATTTATTTAGCTTTAATTTTTAAATATTTTTTGAATTTTTTTTTTAAAAAAGTAACGCTTGATAAATTAATCATAAACATTTTGTCATAGTTACTTTATTTTTATATTTTTGCCAACATAGTTACTTTAGTTACTATGTGCGTGGATTTATTTGTATAGTTTATAGCTTCAAATCTACATAATCATATATCATGTATTATGTAACATAAAAAGTTTAAGGAATTATAATATTTATAAGTTATAAATAGCATAATTCATTTCTAAGCTTCCTATAACATAAAACCTACCCTGGTTATTGTATACTTGCTTAGGTAACGAATTTTTTTCCCCCAAATAGAGAACTTCATTTGTTTATTAGTAAACAAGTCAAACAAAAGTATAATAATGAGATAGTTTTATTTGTCATTCATGGCTCTGAATGCAACTCAAATATGAATTAGTCAATAATTTATTCTCACAGTCTAAAAAGGTTCTTTAAAAAAAACAAAAGGAAAAAATTATGTAGTTTAACGTATTCAAAAGAATGAATTCGAGTAAAAAAAAAAAAAACTATGAGAATGAAAAAATTTGCAATCAAACAAAAAACATTGTTACATACATCACTTTCGTATATCCATACTTTGGACTGGGTGTAAAATCTAATTCAGGAAAAACACCACTTCTGTTAGTTCATTAGTTTCATAAATGTTGGATCAACAATTACATGTCTCTCAAGTCATTATAAGTAAAACTCCAAAGAGTCTCAATAATACATGTCAATCAAAATGTATCCTCTTCATATTCATAATCAGCACCAAGAGATGCAGGAACCACAATACAAACTAAGTTAATCTCAAAAAGCCCCCTTCTTCTCAGTGCACTTGTACATTTTAGAGAACAAAAAAAAAACTCTGATATGTTGCCTTGCAGCTTCCATGGCACCGAAATAAGTTCTTCTAGCTATAACCCAACAACGAGGACTACCTTGTACCTTCATAAAGAGAAGGGGGAAAAAACCAGAGCCTCAAATTCCCAAGCTCATTACGTCATAAGTTAATTAAGAATATTCTGCACTTGAACTATGAACCATCATTAATCAGATCTAAGCACTCTGAGTGAATGTTACGTGGTGATTCGAGGTGGTCAGGTAATGGTTAAGGATAATTGGTTATTAGTTAGAGACTCACTTATATAGGGCGATAGAGTGATGGTAATAGGTGTCTATCAATTGAATGATCTGTTTCTACATCAAAAATATAACTATTGATATCAATGCGAAGGTCCATTTGAGGAGGGAGCATCAGTATGGTGATTAGGGATTGTTAGGAAATGGTTAAGGGAATTTAGTTAGTTAAATACTCCCTTGTTAGTATAAATGGTGATATAGGATGAACATGATAGGTGTCTATTGATTGAGTAGTACATTTCCTTGTCATACATGTACCACATAAGAATACTAAACAGCGCTAGAGATGTAGTCTCTCTGTTTTTATATATAAGAAAAAAAAATTATATTATACAGTTTAAGAAAGTTAGTTAATCATAATAATTATATCTAAAAATAAAAAAATTGGACTAAAATGCCCTATGTTAATCAATATAAGCATGCATTAATTATTTTTTGTTAATATAAATTATGAGAGGTGATTTAAGAAATATATAATAAATACTTATTAAAATATTTGATTTTATTTATATAAAAAAATAAGTAAAAAGTAATAGTTTCTCTTATAAATAAAAACAGAGTAGTATAAGGCTTATGATATGATCTTGTATAACCAAAGATTAGAATAGATTAACCTTCATTATGTCACATAATGTGTTTGAAGATTAAAAATTGTAATTTTAATTATGACAGGTTTTGCTCACAGATCTTTGGACCTAGCTTTATGCTTGTGTGCTTGGAGAGAATCACTGAATATGAATTATAATATAAGAGATAGAAATTGTAAAAGGAAGTTACTTGCTCTGACTCTTTTGGAGCTCCTGTTCAAGTGTGTACCATCCAAATCTTCATCTTCTTCATCCTTGTTTTCTGATTTATATGCTCTAATTATGAACACCTAAAAGCGAAAAATAAGTACTTGTGAGTTTTGACGATCTCAAGAAATCAAGAGCAGGCATGAGTCTACTTCATGATTACCTTAAATTTTGTGGGTTTGATCAGTTGAAACACCAATGCATCCCCATCAACTAGTTCATGATCAATTGAGAAACCTCGCCAACCACCACTAAGACCTGTTTTATCAGCAAGGTATTTGGTGGGTGACTCGTTTCCATCCTCATCTATTAGAGTTACTGTTTCATCATCGTGAGGAAGATGAGTTTTGCAGAAATGAACTGGAAGACCCTGATCAAAATATCATTTTTTTTTTTTTGTTATCTCAGGAAATCACCGTTGATGGAAATCATCAGTAAAGAATGAAGAAAACAGAGGATTCTCTTGATGGAATATTCATTTCCCTTTACTTACTAGCCAAAATCCTCCAGTGACATGGGATTGGAGCATAGGCTTGATGAAACTTGGGTATTTGGAATCTAAACCAGAGAGAAGTTCTTCTGCCCTATCAATTGCATATTGCCTAACTTCATCTGAAGCATAAACTCGATTTAGCAAGTCCCTTTTCTGATAGGACCTACAAGTCATTTTCCCCATGAAAATTTTTACCTCAAAAGAAGCGCGAAAAAAGTGACAAGTGTGAAACTTGAGCTCACCTTCTTGGTCTCAGCAAAGGTTCAATGGGGACCTTGCAAGAACAAAAACAATCCCAATAAAAAAAAAAAAAACTGAGTGAAAGAGAAAGCACGAAGACGAAGCCATTAAAGAAAGAGCAGAAGATTGAAGACTGACTTCCTTGTAGTTTGGAGGAGGCAAGTTGGCTACGCGACTAGACCTTCTTGCCGGAGCCGAAGAAGGGCTGAGCGGCTGACGTGGCACCCTGGGCTTCGCCTGTGACAAGAAAAACCAGACCGACCAGAGCTCATGAGAGTTTCTGATGCGAAAAAGAGAAGAAAAGGAGTGAAATACCCACAGGGGAAGGCTTAGGTGAGGGTAAAGGTTTCAAAGCACTAGCGAGCTTGTTGAGGTTGAGCTCCTCCATTCTCTTCTTGTTTTCTTCTAGCCGTTGTCGCCTGCATTCCTCGTATGTCAACTTAGAAACCACCATTTTTGAGTTTGAATTAGAAAAGGGTAGATTTTTCTTCACAGATGTATCCGCTGGAAGAAATTTATAAACTTAAAGAACTTTTGAGGAAATGAGAAGAACACCAGATTGAAGAAAGGGAGAGAAATGATCGTCGTGAGTGGAAGGAGCCCTTCTTATTTTTCGTTCTCTTGGTGGGCAGTGGGGCCATGTGAGCGCCATATTATTACCTAAGCCTTCAATTCAAATTCCATTTTTTTTTTTTTTGTCGAACCTTCAATTCAAATTCGAAGAGAAGCTTTGCGCTGTTCTTTCCTTAGAAACAAAAAACAAAAACAAAAATTGTCCCTGACTTGACACTTTTTTCCCCAAATAACTTGACACTGGTGAGAGATTCACGCATCCACACAAATATATATATATGAACGCCAAGTTGAATCCGACATCTCTTTGAAGTAATAGAGATATAGCTGTCACCGATACAACTGGTCGTGACAATACTGTGCTTACCTGTTTAAAGTCATCTTCATTTAAATCATTGTCATACTAAAGTCTAAATATTTTCTACGTTCGACATTCAATAAATTAAAAAGAACAATTACAGCTAACTCCATTTTAGGAGAATTAATTATGAATGAGGATCAATGTAAAATAACTTATTATTAAAATGTGAAATATAAATTTTTTTTAAATAGGATTTATTATTGGCCTTGATTTGTGATTAATTTTCTTAAAAGGGAGTAAACTGTAATTCTCCCTTAATATAAACTGAGATAGTAGGACAGGTTAGACATTCATACATTTAATTTGTGAGCCTTGTTGAACAATTCTATTTTTTTTAATACAAAAAGAAAAACAAACTAAAATAAAAACAAGCTACGTAACTTGCCCAGCATTAAACATGTCTTGATGAATATGTCATTGTATTTTGTTGTGACTTATTCGATTTTTGAGACTAGAACTCAGAAATAACTTTGGAAAAATCGCATTGAAATAAGGAAAAATGATAGAAAATTTATTTAAATTATAAAAAGGATATATTAGTACCACGAAATCATATAATTTTTCTAGAGTCTTAAAGGATTAGAGAATTATCAAAAATGACAATTTCACCTTTTATTTAAATTTTAAAAAAATTATAACTTTTCATTCACAACTTTTATTTATATACTAACAACTTTTATTTTTAAATTTGCAACAAGCTAATAACTATTGCAAGTCATGATTTGTAGATCCTGATATGTATCAAATGTTAAAAATTTATAACTTTTTATTCAGAACTTTTGTTCTTATATTAACAATTTTTATTTCTAAATTTACAACAATTCAATAATCATTCACAACTCTACATCTGCAGGTCCTGATGTATATCAGGTGTTGAAATTTTGTAACTTTTTGTTCACAATTTTTGTACCTATATTAACAACTTTTGTTTCTAAATTCGCAACAATTCAATAGTCATTCGCAACTCTACATATGCAGGTCCTAATATATATCAGATGTTAAAAATTTACAACTTTCCATTCACAACATTTGTTCATATATTAACAATTTTTGTTTCTAAATTCACAACAATTCAATAGTCATTCAAAACTTTACATATGCAAGTCTTGATATGCATCAGGTGTTACAAATTTATAACTTTTTATTTACAACTTTTATTCCTATATTAACAGCTTTTGTCCCTAGATTCATAACAATGCAACAAGGAATTGTAATTTATCAATACCCTCTATAAATTGACTAAATCAACAAAAAGGAATTACCACTATAATTCAAGAAATAACAAGTTTTATTAATTTAAATGATAAAAAAAATCTTAAAAAGTGACAACTATCTAAGGTTTTATTATCAGTTACGTGATCTACAACTTGCATTAAAATACCTTATAATCCTTTTGACAAAAATATATGAAGGGCTGAATCTTCTAGTGTCATCTCTCTCTTATCATTTTTATACTCACACTCTCCCATCATATTATATTTTACTTTCAATATTTTTTTACAAAACGTTCCTCTATGTGAAAATAACAAAATAGTTTATTTTCAAAACTGAAAGCAAAAAAACCCATTTCTCATGCCAACCCGAAACAATAAAATAGCCATTCATCAACATATCTATTTTTCAAACATCATAATCACATATCTATTATAATTTATTTAACAACTATTCTTCTTATATTCACAACTTTGTATTGGTCATTTACAACTTTGGTTTATGCATTTATAACACAATTGAAAATGATATATCATTTATTTATGAGTAAGCATCCATACCCATGTACAGCAGAGAAAATGAAAACCTCAATCATAAAGAAAAAAATGAAGACCTTAATCATTTACATACATTAATCCACATCAACTTTAACTATCATATATGAGAGGAAAAATTTTCAAGGAGGAGAAAAAACTTACCCACATACAACACAGCCAAAAAGAAGGAGGGCAGAATGATTGCTTACATATACCCACGTACAACAACTCAACAAAACAAATCACCCACGTACAGAAATTCAAAAATAAATAAGACAGATGAGAAGGAGAAGGAGGAAAAGGAGACATACTAAAGAAGAGGAGAATAAGAAGATGAAGTAGAAGCAAGAACGCGTGAAAATAACTTTGCACTGAGACTTGAAATTTTTGTTTTATTTAAGGGCAATTTAGTCATTTTATTAATTCTCTAACAATAAAAAAAATTCTACGAGACTCTAAGAGAAGTATGCTATTTAATGAGATAAATCTATTATTTACATAATTTAAATAAATTTTTCTATCATTTTCCTTTAAAATAAAGGTAGAGAACATTAATTATGAAAAAGGACAAAGCTTTTTGAATTTACTCTAAAGTTTCTAATTCCATGTCTGGCAATAGATTGAAGAAGAAAAGAGACAATTAACCCTTCGAGTAATAGAAATATTACCTTGACAAACATGTATATAACAGTTTTAATATTAATGAATGTGAAAAATATAAAATGTAATGTTGTATTGAGGATGATAATAAAAAATAAAAAAAATCCATGATTCAGTCTATTAAATTTAACTAATCGCTACTCACTCCCTCAAATCTAGTCTATTTAAAAATTTTATTCTTGTCATGATGTTTCACAAATAATGATTACGCCAATCTTCATCACCATAACACATCACATTAATTAATTTTACAAAATCACAAAAAAAAAATCTGAAATTAAAAAGAAGTGGAGACAAGTCCAAAAAGAACAAGAAAAAAGAAAGTGCAGAGCACTGCCAATGGATGAAAGTTGAAACTTGAAAGAGGCTAACAATGTCTTGAAAGTAATCCTGATTCCTGATACACTTGCTCCCAATTTGTCTCCCCTTGTACTCTTCCTCCAATCTCTTCTGCTATTACCCACGTCATCATTCCCCGACGACGACTCTCCCAACATCATCGACGAGTATTCCGGCGTTTCCAAGTTCCTCAACAAATCGTCCCACACCCACATCTCTATCCTCCAATTCTTCTCCTCCTCATCACACAACCTTATTGCTTTACTAAATACGCATATGGAAAATGACAAGTAATGATACAAGTAGTGTGAGAAATAACAAATATGGCCATAAAAAAAAAATGACAAGTATAGTTACTTTCATCTTTTCCCCTTCAATCTTATTGTCAACGTTAGGGAGTTCAAAGTAAATTCTGAAAGCTTTGATCTTTTTTCACAATTCACATGCTCCAACGTTCCTTCACTGCAACTTTCCCAATAATTTTTAATGCAATGCAAATGATATAGCATCCAGTTTCTGACTAAGACTGTGAAGCATTTGTATTTAATATATCAATATCAATCAAAATTATATATAAATCTAAATTTCAATATAATAAAAATTTATAACAACTAACAAACCAAAATTATCACAAATAATAAAGCGTGACACATTTCCCCGCTTTTTGTTATGTTTTTCAAAAGAGACCTTTTTTTGTTTTTATAAATTAAGAAAATTGAAATTATTTGAACAAAAATAATTAATTACCATTAAAAAAAATGTAAAGTTTGCAACACGTCATAATATTCCTCATATTTTGAGTAGTGCACATGACAATGTACGCAAAACTCATAATTCCAAAAAAGAAGAAGAAGAAGAATCATTAATTCTGTTCGAACCATCGGATCAAGTGAACTGTAGCTTTCATTGACACAGCAATGAGGAGCAACAGCACTGGTTGACACACCCAGTACAGTACTGCAGCATAATTATTAATTATGGGCCATACAGCTGGGTGGGCTCATAAATATGCTGGGACAGGAATCTGAAGAGTATCCAATTGAGAAAATGACATTGAGCACCTGTATGCTGACTTGGCTGAGGATGTTAGAGAACTGCTCATCAAAGACGAAAACAAGAGCATAGACAAACATAACTGGCAAGCAATTTCTTTTCCCCTTTATTTGCTCTTTAGACCCGTCTTATCTACAACTTTCCAACCTCAGAAGTCACATCTCATTAATCTCACAATACATACACACATCTACTATGTACAATATAAAGACACTCATAAAATAGTGTTCATGAGTTATGGATATTACTCGACTCGTGCAGCCACAAAACTCACTAGTTTTGATTAAAACTACAACCACCAAGCTGGCATCTAGCACTAATATATCTCTGTAAATGCAAAACATTTCCATGCAAGCATCTCCTCAGCTCACTCCCGCATCAAGTAATCAGATGATCACTAATTTACATGTATGAGTTGGTTCTTCCCATGCAGCCTCCATCCATATGAAACACTTGAACTATTTCAGTTACTCTGCATGCATAAAGGTCACATTGTCTAGTCAAGTTCTTGCAGGGAATCTAATGTACCGTACTCCTGCAAGTAACTTTGTCATTAAGGATTTTCTCAAGTCAGACAAGAAAACGATTTCATAATCTGGAGCGAAGGATACACTTGACACCGCTGCGAGCAGATGAAAATGGCCTCCCGTTTAAAGTCCCTGAAGATTTAACATCCCACTCCTCAATATTCTTGGGAACACAAACATCAAAAAGAAATTGGCCAAGGACACTATGAGCATTGATGCTTGGGGGACTGGGCAGACAAATAGATTTCTCTTTCTGTTCATCCTGTGGAGAGCCAGAACCTCTACTGTCATGATATGCTCCAGAACTTGGCAAAAAGAAATGATCACTTGGCTCTAACGCAACTCTTCTAAGGCTCTCATTTGAATTGATTGCTGCCTTCTGTAGGTCACAGATTAACTCAGAGATCTCGTCATGCATACTTTCCATTCCAGTTCTCTCCCTTTCTATCATTTTATGAGAATAAATTGAGGTAGCCTTCTCAAACAAATGGGTCACAGCAATTCTGTATTGGATAGGATGATGCTTGTAATGACCTGGAACAACAGAAAAACTACCGGTGTTAGAATGTTTCGAGTGCGTACACTGGTCTATTTACAAACTAAGGAATATAATTTTCCCAAATGCATAGATAGAACAAGATAAAGACTATAAACTAAAGCTTCTGGAATGTATGCAGCAACCTTCGCTTTTTTTTTTTTTTTTTTTACTGCAATTTATTCGAGTCAAAAACAATACCGAAGTCAGCATTGCAATCAATAATTTTTTGGTAGCAATGCAAGAATGATGAAAGTGAATATAACAATAAAATAGTATCAGACAAACCTAAGTGAGATGAGCTACTTAGTTTTATAAGGTTCACATCTCCACCAAGATCTTGCAATCGTTGGACAAAAGTATGGATACTTTTGCATGCCACAAAGTCATCTTTCTCTGAACAGAAAATGAGAAATGGAGCTCCAAAATTCTGAAGAGAAAATGAAAATTAGAATGAATTAAAACAATACAATCATACCCCAAAATAAAAATAAAAAAAATCCCACTGGTCAGAATAGATACTTACGATAGAAGAATACAAAGCTTGCCAATGTTCAGCAGCTAGGGATTCAAACCTGGTGAGGTATAAAGCATCAAAACCAGAGGCTACACATTTTGCCATCCAGGAAACAACCTTTGACGGTCCTGGCACTTTTACAATCGCTGGGTGGAGAGCAAAGCGGATGCCGAAATCACTTGTAACATCTAGAGGGCCAGAATCATAGATGTGTCCAGAAACAAAGTTCCTGAGCAGTTGATAGTTATGCTTCACATAAAAAAAAAATAATCAATAAAATCTAGATGGTAAGAAGGTAGAAGATATCATTAACCAAGGAAAATATCAAGGAATAAGAAAGAGATAAATAAAAAAAAAACTCAGTTATCAACTAGAATAATGAATTACCAGGTAGAGCTGACCTCCACATTTTCCCTCAATAAGCTGCACTTACATGAAAAGCAATAAGAATGGGCATTTCTGATCCAGCAGAATATACAAGCTTCAACCACTAAATTCTCTACACCAAAGATAAGAACGGGTGAGTGAAGTTACCTGAACTACCTTGTACAAACAAGCTTTTGACCCAGCAGAAAAAGATGCAAATACCACAGGGCATGATCTTATCCTCAGGTCCTGCATAATCCAAAGAAACTGTGTTCAAAACCTAAGATACAAAGCTAACAAATTATACCCGAGAGATTGCAGCTTCGGCATCATTAAGAATCTCATGTCCAAGAAAACCAAATGAAATCAATCTAAGCACAACTTCTCATTTCTAATACCAACCTTGATAAGCTCATCAAGAACGTAAATTGCCAATGATAATGCACTCTCATGATGAAACCTGCAAAATGGGAAAGCAGTAAATTATAGAATTCTATCAGTAAATGCAGCCAACCAATCACTTCAGATGAGAAGAAATTTGAGAAGCCAATTATCTGTCACCAACGCAAATCAACCACAGAATTGTCTATCCAGATCATTTTTGAATGATTATCAATTGAGCAAGTCTCTATATGTGCTAACTGAAAAGGACTGAAGTCTTTGTTACTGAGAATTTACTATTTAGTTATGCCCGACACCTCACTCTCATTCTGAGTTCTGACATGTTCATTTATCATAGTTAACTTTATTGTGGAGCACTTCAACGGTTCAACCACAGACTAAAACCTTCCAACAAAAGATTTACATGAATAGATACATATTCTGACTAAGTCTTGGATATTTCCGCTCAACTCAAATGGTGATGATAACCTTCATTGGGTGCCCAATTTATAAGAGTTGCAAATCATTCCCAACTGTGGTTCAATTTATATATTGGACAAATTGTAGTGTACAGGCATAAATATGCATAGGCATCCTTGATTTATAATTGTGTGAACCTGATATGCATTACTTGCCCATGCCTTTTCTGATAGTCAAATAGTTTAGCATGCACTTCAAGCCCATAAAATGGCCTCAAATACTGTAGTACGTGTATGTTTATGTGCTTAGTAATCTTCATCAAGATATTAACACTAGGACTAAGTTATTAGACATCCAAAGTGACCTCCACCTGAACGTGCACCTTCATGCTGCGAGTTTAAAAGCAAAGACCTTTGACAAGGACGTATCCACAGGGGGGCAAGCACCATACCTCACAATTTTGCCAAAATTTTCCTTAATTTTTATTTTCCAAAAAAGTTAAAATTAACTATAGCCCCCCATATTTTACATAGTTTTCATTCACCCCACCCAAACAAAAATGCATGGCAAGCTCTGGATCCATCACTGACCTCTGATATCTGCAGCTTCAAAACACTTGACTAAGATAAAGGCCAATGTTAACAATCAACTATATCAAAGAACAGACAACCTTGTAAAACCCAAAAAAAAAAAAAAAAAAAACTCGAATTGCAAGAACTTAACTCGTAATATTTCTTTTCATTTATCCAAAAACTAATGCTTGGCCGCAATTAACATGATTACAATTTCCCAAACCAGAGAATGCTATTCAACAGTCTCGTTCCCCTACTTCATGTTGTATTTCATAGAGATTTGATTTTCGGGAGATTTCATCCTCATCTACGACCAGGCATGGCATCTTCGTAGTTGAACATCTTATTTATCCAATGAATTCCGTCAACTACCAATAAAAACGTATGCTAAGAAATCTAACGAGCCTCAAACCTTAAAGGACAACAACAAAACCACATCAAAGAGAGAAACCCAAGCAGTTACAGTAGCAGGAAACTAAAACTAATCACAAAAAAACAAAATTGAAAGATAAATAACTAAGGCTTTGTCACTGCATCAATGGAGAAACAAATTGGGGGAAAATTGAAGTGAAATAGTAATGTTGGAAGGAACTGGCGCGTGAAAGTCATACCAAGAGAACAGTTAACAACAGGAATAAACTTACGCCGAGATATAATGGGCATGACAAACAAGGGAATTCCACCCTAAGGATGAGTACAAATCCACATAATCCCATAACTGGCCCTCCTGCACAGAAACCCAAGCAAAGATCACAACGATTCCTTTGAAATCAGTGTCCTCCTTTCTTCCCCAGAAGATATTTCCACCTTTGACGCCTCCGCCTCCGCCGGCGCTGCCACCACGATCACCTCTCCGCATAGCTCGAAGAAGAGATTCTAAGAATTTCAGCTCGAATATTCAAAAATAGAAAATAAAAGAATATTACTTTATGGAAGTTGAAGATTTGGGATAATGGTGATGGTGGGAAACGTAAGGGGTAGTGTTCATCACAGAGAGCAAATGAACGATGAATCGTTGATTGGTGGCTGAGGATGCTAATTCTGGCGTTGGCGTGTCTTCCCTCCGTCCTTCTCTCTCCCCCTCTGACTCTCTCTCTCTCCTTGTTTCGGCGAATAATGCCGAAGCCTGTGAGCATCAATGGGACCACTTATTATTAATAACCACGCGCCACTGTGCATTCTTGGATAATGCTCTCCCCCCCCCCCCTTTCTCTCTCTCCACCCTCTGTCCTTCCATTCTCGTTATCTCATTATTTTCATTTATCCCCAGTTTTTTAATGTAATGACAAAAGTAAATTAAATCATAATAAATTAAAATCTCATATTTCCTTTATTTAAAAATATAAAAAAATTAATTAAATTTTATTTCTAATAAAATAATTATTTATTTTTAAATTAAATTTATTTTTTTATACTTATTTTTATTAAATACTCTATAATAAATATAAAGTCATTTATCAATAGAGTCAGTTTTAAAAAAAATAATTACACCTTAAAAGATTAAAAATATCTTACATTTTTAAACATCCAACCCTTAAAAAAATTTGATATTTTTAAATAGAGGGAGTATAAACTAGATTTTTATACCTGGGCTTGTAATATTAAAAACAAGTTTAGGCTCAAGTGACATTAGATTAGGGGTTTATACTTTAAAATCATGATTTATATTACTTATTTTAGATTTTAAAACATTATAATTTATATTTTAAATAATGAATATACAATATTACAAGGTAAAACGTAATTTACAAAAAAAAAGGTCTCCACAATCAACCCTAAGCCAGTTTAATAAATATTTGTTTCAAGAAATAACTAATTTTAAGGTGAAAAGCTTTAAGGGCAAAAGTCCATAAAAGCCAGATTCACCTATTTTTTATTATGTATATTAAAAATGATTTTAATTAGCAACTTATTTTTTATGATATATTTTTTATAGTGAAAGAATAAATAATTTACTCTCTCCGTTTAAAAATATAAGATATTTTTAATCGAATCTCATCTCCCAATAAAGCAGTTATTTACTTTTTAACTAACTCTATTTTTTCATATTTATTTTTATTAAATATTTTATAATAAATATAAAGTCATTATCAATATGTGTACTTTAAAAAAAGGCAATGATTACTCCTCAAAAAACTAAAAATATTTTATATTTTTTAACATCCAACTCCTCAAAAAATACCTTACATTGTTTAATGAAGGGAGTATTTTATTGTACACTTTATTACCTTTTATGGGTTAAAAATAAGCATCAATTTTTTTATAGAATTTATTATTATGTATTAATTAAAATTCTAGAAATAAAAAAAATTTCATTGCATTGTTTGTCTACCGTTTTATAATTTGTGTAATTTGCATTTGAATTTTGTTGCACGTTTCACACTTTTTTTTATTATAGATTTCATATTTACCATTTATTTTTTTGAAAAAAAATATTCTAAAATTGAAATCCATTAAGTTTCATAAAGAATTTCTTTTTTGTATAACAATAAAAAGAAAAAAGTAAGTTGCGATATATATACTCCCTCGTTTGTAGGACATGTGTGAAGATAATTTAATGTCACAAAATATAAAATACTTTAAGATTTTATTGATTATATTTTTTTAATATTACCCTTCTATTTTTATTATATTTCATTCTCTATTTATGTTTTACAAATAAAGTTATATTAAATTAAAAATATTTTTAAAAGTTTACATTTTTACTTTAAAACAATAAGATTGTAAAGTATATGTAATAAAATTTATTAGTATGCATAATTTTATTAAAAAATATCTTATAAATTACTCCCTCTGAATCATAATACAAAATATTGGTAATTACTTTAGGTTTCTTAAAAAAAGTTTATTGAAACCTTAATCTTTTAAAAAAAAATTTAATCATTTGATCTTTATAATTTTAACAACTTAATCCCTAAACTTTGACTTGTTATAACTCAATTTTTAAAATTTTAACTTAGTTATAAATCAATCCTTAAATTTTGCTTCTTGTAAGTAGTTTTTAAAGTTTTAACCTCCTGAATATTGGTCTTTATATTTTTAAAAATAAAATTATAAAAATTAAAAATATTTTGAATTTTAAAAGATGTTTTATATTATAATTCTGGAGAAATATTTTTTAGTATTTATTTTACATTCACAACTCATTTTTCCTATGAGTCCCATACCCACCTTTTTCTATTATAAAATATTTATAGTATTTTATTTTTTGTTTACTATATAATAATTAAAAAATTTCTATAAAAAATAAAAGAGAGGTTGGATGGTTAATGTAGAGATACAGTAACCATCCAATGCTAATTATAGCACTTCCCAAACTCCAAACATGCTTTTAGAAAGTTATCAAGGTTACATTTGTGAGAAGTAAAAAATTTGTAACTTTTGCAAATGCACGTTTTAAAAAGAAGAAGAAGAAGCCAGCTTGAACATGATAAGTTAGGTTCAAACGTGTATTTGCCCAAAAAAACAACCTCCTGTGAAAAAGATTCTCCTATTTGCTGGTTAATCGAAAGTTAAAGGATAGGGGAAACTAATTCCCAGATCCTCGTGTTTTTCCTAATTTTGAATCAAGTCCGTGAGCTTTTTTATCATATATTTGGATCATTTAGATTTCTTCTGTTAAGTGTATTAATCACTCGTCATTAAAACCATTCGATAAAGACTAACAGTGTTAACAGTCTGTTAAGTAATGATGAGGTGGCACATACACTATTACAAAAATGAGATTTAGTATAAAAAAACAGAATCCAAAAAACAAATCAGAACCCATAACCCAGAACTTCAGATTCATGAAAAAAAAATCAAATCCAAAATAAAATAAAATAAATCATAGATAAAAAAACCATCAAACCTATAAATGACACAGAATAAAGATTTGAAAAACGAAGGATGCACATACAGCAACAAAATTGAAGATGGAGAGTGAGCTGTGTTTGTCATTGTAGGTGGTGGATATGTTCATTGTTAATCTTTCGAGCTTTGCTTTCCATGATGCACTCAAGATTAAATCACCCACGTATTAAGTTTCTTTTCTCTTTCCCTTTTATTAAAATCTTGCAATCGACGACCAGCAGTGCCGGAGCCCACACCGTTGGAGATAAAATCAAGATTCTTACCAACTATCATCTCCCAGACGGCAATCTTCCCTTCTCCTTTCTGGGCTTCCCCTGTGCATTCACAATGGCGGCCCCTTTCTCCCCTCTCGGCTTCTCTTCAAGAACCCTAGGACCCAGAACAAAGTAACCTGACCCCTTTGGCTAAATTTGTCTTCACATGTGAAAAAAAAAAAAATTGTTTTCAGGTGTGGTTTAAATTTTCGACATGGATGCCTACTCAAAACCAACTTGTCAAAGCATACCTAGTTGTCTGCCATCTATTCAATGCATAACAGATTTCTTGACAACGTTATTCCTATTTAATAATTCTTTCATTTTAAATTATAAAATATTTTTAAAGAGTTTTTTCATCTAAAAATATAAAACACTTTGATTATATTAAAATTTTATTAAATACATTAATTTTAATATTATTTTTTTCTCTTTATAATTAATTTATGTCTTTTTCTTTTTAATATATTAAATTATAAATATTTTTAAAAGTTTATATTTTTATTTTAAAAATATAAAATTATTAAATATATTTAACGAGACTTAATTGTATGTGATATTTTATTTAAAAATATTTTATAATTGAAGACGGAGGAGGAAGTAGTTTCAAAAATAAGGGACCAATGAATCTAACGGTGGGGATTTAAAGGACCCAATTAAAAAGAAGAAGAAACCAGGGACCTAATTCATAACTAAAGAAAAGTGTAAGGGTTGGGAGATTAATTTTTCCTAAATGATATGATAATAATAAGTTTGTCCAATACATATGTCTAGTTGGCCAAAATTCCTATGTCTAGTTATAGTCATAAACAGTGTAGCTCTTAACTTGATGCCTGCGCATATCTTATTTCAATGGTATGAAGTGCTAAGAATGTCAAGTTGAATTTTATAATAAAAATTAAGAAATTTTTTTGCCAGAATAAAAAATAATAAACTTAAAACACTCGTGAATCTTTATAGTTTTTAAAATGTTTGTGCAAAATTATGTAGGACCTTTTTTTAATTCATAGTGACAAAGCTATCTAGGTGGATGTTAGTTTAGTTTTATGTTCAAAAAAAAAAAAGCATGAAGTATTTGTCTTACATTTAGCAATTAGCATAGAATGAATAACTAGTCCTAAAAGCCATGTTTGCATTTAATATCTGATAATATTCTGAATATAATTACTTCTAATTAAAAAATATACATGTGTAAAGTAACTACAACAAAAAAAAAAATACAACTACAATCATTTTCCACACTATTGAATGACTATTTAGTCAATCATTACCCATACTATTTAATAACTTATTAGTCTTTCTTGGTAGTAAATGTTGGTTTTTCCATTACCATATATTTCCGAAATTGTGAAACTCTTGAATTTAAATAAATTTATGATGGGGTATAAACGCAAATCATAAAATCATCAGGCTTTATATCTATTAACATATAGTCAGCACAAATATATGATTAAATATTTAAAATATAAAATATGACTATAATTTAATTTAAATATATTCCAAATCTAAATAATTGAAGTCAAATCCACCTCTATTGATAGATTATTACACTCAACATAGAAATTTTAAAATAAGGCAACCTATTTTTAATATTTCTTGTTTTATTTTTTATTAACACTAATTTTAGTTTTTTGAGTTTTATTTTTTTTAATCTGGTTTTACTGCTTCCAATTAACCTAGTTTTGCACAATATATACTTAATTTTCCTAACTCAATAAAAAGTTTACAAGTTTAGCAATTTTAACTAAGTCACTCATGAATTTAATCAAATTTATATCTAATTTTAATTTATGAATTAGTTGACACTACTTTATAAACTAAAAATTTAAAAACAATAAACTTAAAAAGTCAATTTGTGAGTTTAATCAAGTTTGTATTTGATTTGAGCTTTTAAATGAGTTGACATAATTTTATAAACTAAAAATATAAGAACTATAAATTTAAAAAGTTAACCCAATAATTTAACAATAATGTATATATCAAATAAACTGTAACCTTGTCTTTGGATTAGAAAAAAAATTT